GGGCTGGGCGCGCTGCCCGCGCTAACGCTCTGCTCTGCTCTCCCTCCCGCAGGCCCGAGGGGACTCCGTTCGAGGACGGTGAGTGCGGTTTGGCCGGCTCGGGGGGGGCTCCTGCGGGCTGGCGCGGCCTCGGCGTGGCTGCCGGGGGCCCTCCACAGGTGTGGGCGTGGGGCATGGTCACCTGAGCACCAGGCCGGCGTGGGGACCTCGTAGCAACTTTTCAACGTCTGAAGGGCCTACAAGGGATCCGGGGAGAGACTCTGTTAGGAACTGCAGTGACAGGACAAGGGGGAACAGGCTCAAGCTGAAGGAGGGGAAGTTTAGGTTAGATATTAGGAAAAAGTTTTTTACTGTAAGGGTGGTGAGACACTGGCACAGGTCACCCAAGGAGGTAGTGGATGCTCCAGCCCTGGCAGTGTTCAGAGCCAGGTTGGATGAAGCCTTGAGCCACCTGGTCTAGTGGGAGGTGTCCCTGCCCAGGGCAGAGGGTTGGGACTAGATGATCTGTAAGGTCTATTCTAACCCCTAAAATCCTATGATTCTATGATTATTTTCCACCCCTACTCCCGAAGAAGTCATAGCTTTAGGTTGCTGTGTTGATTTAAAGAAACAAACATACGAGCTTATGTGCTCTTGCTTGTAATCACCTGCTCTGACTGTCTAAGCCACCTTAAAGGTCTCCAAGCTTTCCTGTTGAGCACTGGATTGTGTTTTTAGGGACACTCCTGCTTGGAGAACCATCCAAACCCTGGCATGGAGCCGTTGTCTTTTGCTTGAGTTCTGGTGCTGGAAGTGCTGTGTGAATAAGTCCCAACGTGAGTCAGCTGAAGTAGGAAATGGGCTGAGTGTTTGAGGAAGTTCAGAGCAGTTGTGTTGGGGTTTTCTCTTGGCATTCACTTTGCTCTGCTGCAGTTGATATCATTCAGGGCTTAAGATTAAAAGGACTTTTTGACTTTACATCTGACTGAATAGCTCCTGGTAACACACCTGTAGTTTCCACCTGGCCTTGCTGTCTTTATAGGTTTGCAGATGCTGTGTGAGTACTTCAGCATCTTGTGAAAACCTGTCAGACATGAAATACTGTCTAACTGAAATCAGTGATGCATTTTTTTAAAGATACTTTCAGTGCAGGCTATAATTAATCTTAGATCTCCATGACTCATGACAAAAGCATAGGAAAAATTCCTTAACTCTTCTGTTGTTCTTGGCTAACTCTCCTGTGTCTGTTTATCCTGGGAGGTAGCACCTGTGGACCTGCCTCTAAATTGCAGATTGTTTTTCTCTGAAGGTTTTAAATGCTTCAAGCCTAAGAAAACTCTGAACACTCCAGTTAGGTTTTTTTTATGTACTTAAGGAACTTGCTGTAGTAGCTGTTTTAGAAGTCTAATCTTTAGAACGAGTGTCCCATAACATCACATGACAGAACAGATGGACTAAATGTATATTATCTCATCTTGTAACCCTTAAGGAAAGGCTACCTTAAACCTGTGTGAGGGTTGCTAGAGCTGCTTAGGCTCTTGGTGCTCTGCTGTTAATAGTGATTCACTGTCTGGAGCAGAAAGCTCTCCTTGCAGTGCTAGAATGATAACAGAATTTTAGGGGTTGGAATGGTCCTTAGAGATCATTCAGTCCCAACCTCCTGCTCTGGGCAGAGACACCTCCCACCAGAGCAGGTTGTTCAAGGCTTCATTCAGCCTGGCTTTGAACTCTGCCAGGGTTGGGGCAGCCACAGCCTCCCTGGGCAATATAACTGTGCCAGTGTCTCATCACCCTCAGAGTAAAAACCTTTTTCCCTGTTCAGCCTCTTCCAGCTCAGTGTTGGTTAGCAGGTGCTGTAAGGGCTTTCCCCCCTCTGTTTCTGTTTAGCTGCAGAAGGTTGAGGACAGCTCTGAGAAGTCACACACTGATTCCGCCTGTGCTTCCTGGGGCAGCACTGTGTGTGTCTCAGGTACCGAGGGGGTGAACCTCAGCAGAAGCTTGAAATGCTGCTCTCCTGCTTTGGTCGATACAACGTAATCTCAGGGGTGATGGATTGCTCCTCTTGTGGCAAAGTGTGTCTGTTCACACTGTGTGCTCAGGAAAACAGCTATGTCTTGTGTGGCAGGATATGTGCTTATCTCTTCTTCTCTGCACGTACCTTACCTTGTGCTAGATAACAAAACACTAAGTGGTGCCTGGAGATACAGGAATATTGGTGCCTCAGTGTGCTGGTTTGAAAAGCAAACTGATGGATTGCTCCTCTTGTGGCAAAGTGTGTCTGTTCACACTGTGTGCTCAGGAAAACAGCTATGTCTTGTGTGGCAGGATATGTGCTTATCTCTTCTTCTCTGCACGTACCTTACCTTGTGCTAGATAACAAAACACTAAGTGGTGCCTGGAGATACAGGAATATTGGTGCCTCAGTGTGCTGGTTTGAAAAGCAAACCAGTGAGAGGAGAGAGTGGCAGCTCTTGTCCTCTGGGCATCCAGCAGGCAAAAGGGGCCTGTGTTGGTCCAAACCCCAGTTTATATCCCTGTGAGCATGTTTGGCTCCCCACCCCTGGGGTCAGTCACCTCACCATGGGACAAGGGATAAGGATCACTGGGAGGATGTGTCATGCCTGGGTCCTTGACAGCCCCCTGAGGGAGCCATCAGGATTGCCCTGAGGGAGGGACAAGGTGGTAACGATCACTGCCCCATCTGCTTTAACAGCTTGTGGAGATGATAATAGAATACATACCATGGATACCCCCACACTGCAACCCAGGACACTCAGCTGTGCTTTTCCATGGATTGAGGAGAGTAGCACAGTTCAGGTAATGGCAGTGCAGTCCTGACATAGTTCAGCTTAATGTAGGTAAAGTTAAGGGAATTATAACAGTATGTTAGTTGGGGTTTGTTTTGTAACTGTGCAGGCTCTTGTGGTCAAAGGTACACTGAAACTCTGCAGGTCAGTGTTGTGTTTTCATTTTCAGGCTTTTTCACTTCCTGGTGATACTTAAGACTTCAGATAGTACTTGCGAAAGTATCTTGTGAAGTTTTGGGGTTTTTGTTAACCTAGAGGTGTAATAACTCAGCATTGTGAAAATTCTTGTTCTTTACCCTCACTCTGGTGAGGCCTTTCTCCAGCCTCAGCTTCTGAGGTGTCTTAGCTTTGTCTGGGCTGAAAACCTGAAGTTCAAACATGTTTGTTTACTTGCTGTGCAGCATACTGCAGCTAGCATTCCTCCTCCTCCTCCACCCCCAGACTTTGGAGGGTGTTTTCACAACTCAGTGCCCAGGCTGGCTCGGCTCAGAACAACCACTAATTTAGATCAGCAGCACAACTTCCATCTTCTTGTTCAGGAGGATTTGATTGCAGGTGTCTGCAGTAGGACCCTGGGGATATTTATCCTGCCCTTCACCATACTCCTAAGAATCCATATGTGTGTGGCATCTAAAGTGGTAGTGCTGCCACAGCCATGGAAACCAGTGCTCTCCCAGTCCTTCACACGTTTCTCTGAAACTGGATGATGGTCATGTGGTTAGTGCAGGATTCCTGGCTCGGAGAGAGTTAAGTAATAGAACAGTTGTGGTATCCTGCCTTGCTGTGATCCTTCAGGAGGCTTGGACAGGGAAGGCAAGGCATTTGTGGTTTGTTCCTTGTTTATGGCATATGGATTCTGTATTCTCATGCTTTGTGGGCAGTGGAACAGAGGGTCTGCTCTCACTGCCTGCAGCAAGGGGGCCTGGCAGGGGCATGGACACTGCTGTGGGGCTGCTAGGGACAGTGTACAGGCCATGCAGGAGCCTCTGCTAGTTGTGTTGTGCTCTCAGATCCTGAGGTAGAGAAATTGTTCAACAAGGTAACTACAGGAGAGAAGAGAAGGTTCTAAGATCAGTGATGATCCCAATATCAGTAATGACAGTGAACATGACAACTCATGTTTTAAGAATGCTGTCTAGGGTAAGTCAGGAGTACCAGTTGCAAGCTTGAAAACTAGTGACAGAAGAGACTGGACAGTGAAGCCCTCATGCCCTGCAGTATGTGGTGTGATACCTGTTTGGCTTGTGTGGGCTTTCAGTGTGAGTGACCCTTGGACTTTGGTTTGTTACATCTCTCGATTTGTCCTTTCATAAACAACAAGGTGTTGTGTTCTGTGGATGTTCTGTGGAGCTCTTCCAAAGGGCCATTGCCACTCTGGGCCCTGACTTGGAAATCTGAGTAGGCAGATACTCCAGCTGGACACTGTCTACCCCTCACTCAGACTTCTGTTAAAAGTAACATTGTCCTATCTCTGGTGGGAAAACCACTTCCCTTTCTTTCCGTAGTTTTAAATGGATTCTAAGATCAAACTGCCCTTGTCACTGCTTTTGGGCCATCTGATCTGTGCCCTCTGCTCCCACTTATGGCAGAGTTCTTGAATAGCATTCATGGGCTCAGGTGTGCTTGTTGAACTTTGATGATTTGACTTGTTTTCAGCCTGCTGCTTGCTTAGTCACTCTTGCACAGAAGGAAGTGCCTGTGTTGAGGAATCTACTGAGGACCAGAACTGGGGCAGGGAGAACTGAGAATCTGAAACTTAGAATCAAATCTCTAAGCATCTGGCTCTAAAGGGCCAATATTGCTTGAGATTGTCATCGGGAAGGGAAGGGAAGGTAGTCCTGAGCTGATGTTTGCAGCTGGCAGAAGTTGTTAGTAACTACCAGGCGTGGCTTTCAAACTGATCTGAAGCTCTGCCTCTGGACTAGCTGGAGTAAAGCCTGAAAGCCTCACTGCAGCCTCGCACTGATTTGAACAATCTTTACTGTCCTGTTTTGGCTCTTCTGTTTCACAGTGAGATAGCATGGTGTTGGCTCTCTGCTCTTGTGTTGTTAGGCTGCTAATAGAATACAAACATGCAAAAGCTTATTTTTAGGGTGTTGAGACTTTCCACTGCTGTAGAAACAGCTGTGTCTTCATAGGCAAACTGGAATGTCAGAGCAATGACCTTCATTTCTTGCAACTCAGTGTTACAGTTTATGTCCTTATAAAGGAAGGAGTCCCTGGGAAATGTTGCAGGTCCTTGCTGGTCTGTAAAAATAAATCTGTTCTCCGGCTACCAGTTGTAGGTACATGTTTGCCAGCCAAACAAAGCAATAACTAAATTATATGATCTTCATAGGCAAACTGGAATGTCAGAGCAATGACCTTCATTTCTTGCAACTCAGTGTTACAGTTTATGTCCTTATAAAGGAAGGAGTCCCTGGGAAATGTTGCAGGTCCTTGCTGGTCTGTAAAAATAAATCTGTTCTCCGGCTACCAGTTGTAGGTACATGTTTGCCAGCCAAACAAAGCAATAACTAAATTATATGAGTGCTGGAAAACTCCCTCACAGTAGACAGCAAAGACAATGACACTGGGTGGGTGGAGGGAGCCCAACCTGTCACTGACATGTCAGAATGCCTAGGAAGATTGTAACATGGCCATGGTGCAGCTGTTCCAGTAAGGTACAGCCCTTGCTTCAGGTATTTCTCCCTGGGCATACTCAGGAGCTCCATGATCTGCTCTTGGGGGATCGTGTGGGTAGGAGTCACTCACGTGGTCTGCAGTGAGCACGTGTTCCGTAGCGACCGATGGGAGTCGGGAGCAGTCCTCAGGCCCCTGGACACGTGTGAGCAGCTTAGCTGACAGACTCCGTATTCTCAGATTGTCATAGCCTGAGGAAAAGGGCTAAAATAACTTGGGATGGTGCAGGCTGTTAGAAGAGTTGGATTGGGACTCAACCACAGTTTTCTGTTTCTGCTTAATCAGCCTTTCTCGAAGGAAGATTAGTAAGTGTGAAGGAATTGGTCAGATGTTTATTTGCAATGGTTGGATTTGGATACTGCTTTCAATCCTGCTTTTCCACAACAAGACCTGATTTCCTCACAGTTGTTGGGAAACATGAATTCTTTTTGAAATGTAGAGGAAATGGGAAGGTCCTCGTCATGACAGCATATTCCATAGATAGGGCTTACGGAATCACGGCCTGTTACGCAGATGGTTGTACACCCACTTGTGTTGTTTGTACAGTGTGCTGGGGCTAGGCCCCGTGGAAGAGAACCTCAAGGGCAGATTTGTGTCCTTACACAAACCTTTTGACTGGGGTGGTGGTTTTGGCAATAAAAGTCCGTCACAGGAGATCCTCCTGTGCCAGTGCTGTCTGGGACTCCAGTGTTAATGATTAACTCAGGGCAGTGGAGGAATTGCTGTAGGACTGTGCAGTCTGTGGTCCATATCCAGCATGTGTGTGTGAGCACAGTGATATCAGTGTGTGCTTCTGGAGGGATGCTACTTACTCATCCCTTGTGCAAATTCATGCTGAATAAAGATTGCTTATCTCTCTTTTGACTCCAGGAACTTTCAAACTTACAATAGAATTCACAGAAGAATACCCGAATAAACCACCTACTGTTAGATTTGTCTCTAAAATGTTTCATCCAAATGGTAAGTACTTACACAATGCCTGGGTTTGCTTCTGTGGTGTTGGTAGGGGCTTTTTGTTTGTTTTGTTATAGCTTGCTGTAGAAAAAGGTCTATAATAAAAGTTTCCACTCTATAAGGTAGCAAAATTCCAGAGTGGTTCTGTATAGTTTTGGTGAGGATGAGAATGTGAGCAGTGTTCAGGCTTGAAGTGAAAGGGGCAATAAAAGGAGCCTCTTACCTTTCAGGTGTTACAGCACAGTACTGATGAGACACTCTTCTCTCTCCACTGCCTGTTAAGCCTTACAGAAGAATGTTTTGTACTTAAATAGCAGTGCCTTGGACTTCTGTCTGTATGTATTGTAGACGTAGTGTAGTGACTGCTGCATGCAGCTGTCTGTTAGCACTTCTGTTCCTATGAGAATGATACACCGTGAAACGTAGTGTCCAACTGCAGCCAGTGACAGTGAGACTGGTTAATTAATCCCCTTCTGTGGTAACTAAAGGCTGGAGAAGGTTTCCTTGCCTCCAAACAAATATTAGCTTTGTGAAGAAATACCAGAAACTTTGAAATGTACCAAGTGTGGGAACAGTGCAGGGAGGGAAGGTTGTTGTGTAGCTGCTGTGAGGAGGGTGTTAGGACTCTGCTCTAGAGACTTCATGGGGAAACTTGAGTGTAAACAGCTGTTTGCTGTTCTCCTTTTGGTTCACTTGTGGTTAGCTGAAATTGTTTTGCCTTAGAATCTGTTTACAGTTTTCCATAGTGGTAGCTGCAATGTCACAGGGAAGTTCAATGTCAGAATAAGCAGGGGTTGAGTTTCAGTACCTCAGGCAGCTGTTGGTGAGGAGCTTCACTGCTCCCTGCCCACAGGCCTGCTTGGATGTCAGTCTGTCCATCTGTAGGTTTTCAGGATCAGGCAATGCCAGGAAAAGGCCAGTAGCTGTAAAACTTGTGTATTAAGCTGTTCTTTTTGGCCCTCTTCTAGTCTATGCAGATGGTAGTATATGTCTGGATATTCTTCAGAACCGCTGGAGCCCAACTTACGATGTCTCCTCCATCCTAACATCCATACAGGTAAAAACTCGGCGTGAACAGGTGCAGTGAGATCAGGATGCCTTGGCAAGAACAGCTCAGGAACCTTTTGCCCTCTCCCTAGAGCCAGTGTAGCAGCTATACTGTGGTATTTGGCAGAGTGTGAATGCTTCCCAGGTGTCAGTGGGCTGGGCAGGACACGGGTGGACCCTGGCAGGGATGCAGTGCTTGGCTGTCACAAGTCACCTGCAGGCCAAAGCCTCCAGTGCCTTCCAGCTGCAGGAATATAGTGCATGGCACCTGGACTAACCCCTGCACTCTGGCTAGTCTGGATAGTTTATGGAACATGTTGGAAAACTGAGGATCTTTTTCTCTCTGTGCAGTCCCTCCTGGATGAGCCAAACCCGAACAGTCCAGCAAACAGCCAGGCAGCTCAGCTATACCAAGAGAATAAGCGGGAATATGAAAAACGGGTCTCTGCAATAGTAGAACAGAGCTGGCGTGACTGTTGACCCAGGATGATGCAAATGAACACTCTGTTGATGAGGAAAATAAACAAGGTGTCCGAGTCATCTTTTTCCTCCTAGCATTTACTTTGCAAGCAGAATAGCTGTTGTGCTGTTGCCACCCTCCCTTGCTGAAGCTTCTTCTCCTTGGACATCAGAGCGCACCCACTTCGAAGTCAGACGTTCTGTACTTGGGTTACTTGCAAAAGAGTTACTGATGCTGAATTCATTTTCTGTGGCCCCTCTCCAGTCTTAGGGCAGTATTGTGCATTTCTGTAGTGTACACTAAGCTTTTAATTGTAATTGTGTTATACACAGTGATGCTTATGTGTAGCTTGATAAAAGGGATGTTTATATACATACACATTTTTTAACTGATATTAACTAAAGTGCTGATGTGTCCAGGCTGGTCATTTCCTCTACTATTGGTTTAGACTCCACTGCATTTGTAAGTACTGAGTGAAGAAATAACCTCTTGTTTCCCTTTTGTATTGGTTTATCAAGTCCTTACTCATGTTTAAAAAAAATCAACTCTTCAATTGATTCCCATTTAAAGATTTAGTAAGACCCTGGAATGCTAGTTAGTTCTGCACTTCACATGCAAGATTTATGTACACACCTACATAAATCAGTACAGCTGTGGTACTTGGATCCTTGCTGAGGGTGAGAAACAAGCCCCCCCCTTTTTTTTTTTTTTTCAGTTTTAAAGGACAAGCCTACAGAAACTGCCAGGAAGTTTCTGTAGTCCTGTCAATGAGGCATTACTGGACAAAACCAGGTAGAGCTGTGGTACTTGGAGCAAAAAGGCCTTCCAGTCTAAGGAAGAGACAAAACCTGACCTGTTCCAGCTGTGGAATGACTCCTCTTCAGCATCTTTCTCCTGCCCCTTAGCTGAGAAAGATAAGCTCTTTGGGATCTAACTTTGCCTTGTGGAAAGTTTGAGCTAAGTCTGGGGTAGGCACTCGAGTCTCTGCAGTTTCTGCTCTTTGTAGATGACCCCATGTGGTTTGTGTTGAGCTACTGCTGCATGCTGGAGTTCCTTCCCTTCAGTTTTATGAAAGTACTTTTTCAACTCTGAAAAAACTCATTTGTAAGTCCAGACTCACTTTTTTTGTAAGGCACGTTTGTACCTTTGGATACAGAACCTTAAGCAGCAGTGTGGGATGGAACCTACAGTTGTGTTGTCCACTGTTCCAGTGTCTTTTGTGTGCACATTGGTCTGTTAGTTGAAAAGTATAACTTTGCACAAGTAACCCATGTAAGAAACTGTACATTTTTCAAAAGTTGTAAATAAAGTGTAACCTTAGTGCTTATTGTATAAATAGGCAAGAAGTGTATAACTGTGATTATTTAACTGGGAGGGTAGGAGGTGGTGGTGGGATCCAGACTGAAATACTTCCTACTCTGGGCAGCAGCTGGGTGAAAGCTGTGCCTGGGGCAGGGCAGAGATAATGCACTCAGGAGAGGACAGGAGGGACAAAGGTGGAAAGGGGCCAGGCTGCACCTGCAGGAAGCTCAGGCCTGGGAGTGAGACAGACAAAAAAATGGAGCTTGTGATACTGAGTAATGAATTGATACAGGAATCATTTATCTTCCTCCTGTCTTCCAAGGGGCAGAACAGGATTTCACATGACTGACACATAACAAAAGCTGCTTCTGCTGCTGAGCTCCACAGCTGGGATAGAAGCATTTATACCTGCTGTGACAACAGCTTGTGCCCTTGTAAGGCCTTTTGCCTTCCACAGAGCAGCTCTCACCACTGAAGTCCTGCCTATGTCACACTTGTTTTCCTAAGGGACAGTGTCTTAACTGGACCCTCGTAATGGCAGGATTTGGCTATCTCCCTGGAGTGCGTGGAGGAGGCAGGACAGAGTCAGTGCCTCAAGTTACCAGGTCTGTTTCCTTCACAGTCTGCGTGCAAGACTTCCCCAACTCAGTCAGTCAAGCAATGAGCACCTTAGTTGCACCCACTAAGTTACAGATCAGTGCAAAAAAACCCCAAACACCCCCAAGCCCACCTGCTGCACAGACAGGGCTGACCACAAGGACCCTAACCAGTGCCAGCTGCAACTACTGCTGCAAACAGAACCTTCTCAACAGGCTAAGTCACTCTAATGTCACAGAAGCCCTTCTAGCAGTCCCTCCAATTTTGTCTCACTAGTCACCAAAAAAAACCCAGTGGATGAAAGGCAGCCAAAATAGCAGCAGAGAAGTGCAAAATAATGAATCTTGCCTTCAACTTTGCTCAGGCAAGGCCTTTATCCACTGACTTTTCTAACTCCCAGTGTGTCTCTCCAGGAAGCTGATCACTGCACAGCCTCCCTGGGGACAGCAAGGCTGAGTGTTGTTCAGCTCACAGGTAACATCCAACAGCCAAACCAACAACCACACACCAGGCCCTGCACACAGGTCCCACCCTGGACAAAGATGGGTCAGGGCTGCTGCCCAGGACAGGAAAAGCAATGCCCTGCACAGACTACACTGCCCCTGCCGAGGTACAGGGACGTACAGCCAGCTCCCACCTCTCCGAAGAGAGGCATTTTTCATCCCAAATATCAGTGGTGCTCTTACTGCTTTTCTTGGCACTGCCAAGCTCCAAAGACCTGCTGCATACCCAAGTTAGGGAGGGGGAGCTTCACTCCAGCGTTGCCTAGAAAGTAACCAGGCTTCTTCCACTCCTACAGCACCATCTGCTAGAGCCCAGCACTCTTGAGTGCAGAATTCAGAAGCAGAGAGAGGGAATAATGCACAAGAAAAACATCCAAACAAAATGAAATAAACAACCTCCTTTCAGAATTAACTACCACATTATTTTCCTACAGCAGCACCAGCAGCAGCAGGAAGCTGTTATTTCAGCAGTCAAAGCTGGCAGAAGCTGTGCTGCAGCCAGGCAGAGATAGTGGGGGATGCTCACCCTGCTTCCTGCGCGAGTCTCCCCTGCCAGGGCAGCCTCTCTCTTCCTTGTCACCCTGCGGGGATGGAAATGCACATCACCAGGACATTGTGCTGCACCGGTAGAGGTCAGTCACCCTCGCCTCAGCGCTGAGAGCATAACAAAACAAAACAGAACAGGAGGTGGGGAAAAAGCTAGAGGATGGTGTGAAAAGATGGAGAGGCAAAGATAGGCAGCAGAAAACCACAGGCGATAGCTGAGACACAGGGCAACAGGAGAACAGACAAAAATACTGCATTAGCACTGGCTAATAGTGAAGAACCATCAGCACTGCTGACAGAAAATCCAGTGTCTCCAGGCACACCTCACTCCGAGCTCGTCCAAGGTCAGTTCCTAACCTCTGTGCTTCCCAAGCACGAGGGGAGTGTTCTCCAGGGCTCGCAGAGTGTGTGGAAGCAGCACAGCCCGAGGTCACTCTGCGTCCCCGGCAAGGAGCGCAGAGCTCCAGTCCCCAGCAGTGTGTGCCAGCCCTGGAGCACTGCCACGCTCACCACAGGCCAGAGCAAGGCCAGCAACTTAACTGGGGAATCGCCCTTGACACAGGCACAGGTACAGGGGTGGAGCAGAGAAATCATCAGGCATAGATTTGGTTTGGCTCAGGATTAAAGAGCTGATATTCAAAGTGGAAAAAAAAAAAGTTATGTAACAGTCCCACAAGCTACATGAGCATCTTTGAGCGTGGGCTCTGCATTTACCTCGCAGTTCTCCATGGTATCCACACACGTCACGCAGTGCTCCGAGCTGGAATCGCGCGGAATCCTCTCGGTCCCACACGCTGGAGACGAAGGAGCCTTTGGTGACTCTCGGAACGGGAGACTCAAGGTGGAAATCTATGAATAAAACTACTGCTAAACTGGTTAAGAACATCTCTACACACATGCACAGCACAGAAAACAGATGTGTGCATATGTATCTCTCAAGAAAAACAGTTTTCAGTTTCTTCTTTATACAAAGTGTGACAAATATATTTTTTTTCCAGAAATAAAACTTTATTTTTATGGCAATTCATACCCACTTTACATACAGGTTTATGCCCCCAGACTGCATTTCATTTGCTTTTTTAGTTTTAATTACTTTTTTTTTTAAAAAAAAAAGGCTTTTTTTTCCCCCTTCCTTGTTCAAGAAGAATAAGGGAAGTATAATTTTAAATGACGTCAAATTCCTTCTCGTTGGACATGTGTGTTTGCTATTACAAAACTAATAAAATGTGAAGGAACAAGTAATATCAAAGACACATACAGTAACAGCATACTTGCTTTGGGGTTGTGCTAATGTACTTGAACAGAACTCGGTCGGTCCTAAATGCCTAATAACATTTTAGAAATGATATTGCCAAAGTAAAAGACTTTAACATTGTTATTATTACCCACAACAAGAAAAATGCAGCATCTCTTTCTTTAGTCGAGTGTCCAGGAAGCTCAGTCTCTGCTCAAAGGGGACACCTCACCTCAGTTTGCCTGGGGCATGATGAGCTCGTAATGCCCCACTTGGCCTTCCTGCTTCAGCTGGTCTAACAGATCCTCCTTGCGCCGCTTCCTGCTCACCACCAAGTATCTGTTGTGTCCCTGCCCATGGGATTTACTTTTAAGACCATATTTTTGGGCAATCTGATGTATCTGCTTCCGCTCATCCATAGTCAGTTCTCTAGAGAAAGTCAAGTCAATGTGACTATCTGAGCGTGCATAGTTTCGAATGATCTCCTCGATATCTCTCTTAGCGATTCTGTTCACCCTTTCTACATCCAGCCCAAGTCCTTCCCTTTTGAACTGCTCCTTCACCGAAATAGGCTCTCTAATTCCTTCACCATCTTTCCCCAGGCCACCGCCTGTCCAGCCCATCTTTCTTAAAATTTGGTTCCCAATGTTGTCTTCTTTGATCTTCTGTTTGAAAGCCTCTTCAGCTGACCGACCCCGAATCTCGTTCCTGGAGATGACGTCTTCGACGGTGCCTTTCTTCAGGTTATTAACGACAGTTGGCTGAGTCTTTTTGAGGATCTTCACGGCTTCCTCTGCTGCCTCATGCTTGACAGATTTCTTCACTCCAACTGCCTCTGCGATGAATTCATCCTCCAGCATCACCTTGCACTTCCATCGCATGCCTGTCATCCTCTCAAAGACGTACTCCACCGTCATCTTGTTGAACTGGGCAGTGTCGTTCAGCGTACACACCGGGTTACTGGAGTTCTCATACACCACCAGGTCCTTCAGGTCCTTCTTCCTCCCGGAGCCCCGTGACGAGCAGCCCACTTTCTGCACCTGGGTCACTTTGATGGATGCTATATTGGACTGCATCTTCTGCAGGATTTTCAGTGCCTCCTCAGCTGCTGCATGCTTGCTGGTCTTTTTTGTGCCAAACCCCTCGGCCAGGCAGTGATCCTGGAGATACACCTGACAACGCCACAAGCGGTTGGGCATCAATTCATACTTGTACTCGACAGACATTTTGTTATATGAGGCAGAATTGTTAAGGATTCCTATAGCATCGCTGGCATTCTCTGTGAGGACAAAACTAGTCCAGGGTTTGTTGGCATTAGCAGAACCTTTCGTGGATTCAGTACCAGGCTGCATCGGGACACAGTCCCTGTTGGCAACTACAAACTCCTCGTGAGGTTTGAGAGCGGGAGGGAACTCCGGGCGACACACACCTGCCTCACACACCACCAAGTCCTCGTGATAGGTGTGCTTGAACTTGCGCTGAACGACTCTGACCTCCACAGACTTCTTCAGCAGCTTCACCGCCAGCTCCGCGGCTCGATCCCGCGACCCGTTCTTGCTGCCCGCGTACCCCGTGGCCAGGTAGACATTCTGACATCGCACCTCACAGGCAAAGCCATCTGTCAGGAGCTTCTTGCTCTTGGGGAGGTCAGCGGGGGCGATTTCTTTCAGAGGGACATAAATATATTCAGGATTCGTCTTGCATGCCTGAATTGAACGTGTTAAAAGATATGTGAAGTTAATTTTATCAGTCCCAGTGTTTGCATCTGGGTTAGCAAGATTCTTCCAGACAGCTGCTGACAGTTTCTCCATAAAGCTCTGCTTCAGCATTATTGCTGATGGAGGGAAAGTCTCTGATGCAGACTGGGCAGTGGAAGGGGAAGCAGAAACCTGCAATGCACTGCTCGTGCTTGAGTCCACACTGTTCACAGCCCTCCTGGCTGCTGCTGCTGCGTGGCTTGCAGAGCTGAGCCCAGCTGTGCTGGAGAGCTGGGGATCCACCTCCCGTGCACTGGTACAGTTTTCAGCTGGCTGTGCCATGCTGTTCGTATTTGCCTCCTGGTTGGCCTCCTGCGTTTGGCTATCCAGAGAACTGTCCTTCTTGCCACCCTTCTCCGCACTGGTGACAAAGTGTATGGGCTCAAAGCGTGGTCGCACTCGGAACCTGGGGACCACCTTTTTGGGGGGCTCAGGAGTATCTTCCAGTTCTGGGCCTATGAGGTGGGAGAAAATGACATGATTACCAATGCATGCTGTGACAGGGAGACAATGTTTTCACACAGCGAACTCCAAGAGGAGCCTGCAGGCTCTGAACCCAGGATTCCCACTTCTAGCCACAAACCAAGAGGTTCCCTCCAAACACATTCAGAAAGAATAAAAGATGAACAGTCGTTCTTGTGCAGGTCACTACAGGGACATTTCCAGCTCCACAACTACCACACAAAAATCTCAACACATTTAGTTACAGGGATGTTGCCCCCAGCATTGCCCACTGGACCCATTTGGGCATTTCTGAAGTTAATCTATTCAAAGCTACTAAAACAAGTAAAACTACAGACAACCAGACAGAACACCAGAGCAGCACTAGAGCCTCAGCTCTGACTGCTGAAGGGTTGCAGGATGATCTCAGATAAACTACTTTATCTGCAGCTCCTCTCATCCGAGTAGGAACACAGAGACACTGAACTCTCCTTCCCAAAACACACAGGGCTGTTAGAGAAACAGATCTCCTGTCAATGCAATTACTTTGGCTAAAGGTCACCAAACATGGAGAAATCTGCCCAAGCCTCGAGGGACAGCAGCAGTGCCTGGGCAGCCCATTACACAAAACTGAGACCTCTTGTTTCCTCACCAGAAGAAATGCAAATGAGGCAGAATATCCTGACGTGTACAGTTACTGCAGAAAAGGAGAATCAAATAGCTGACAAGCAAACATGTTACATCCAAGGGATGGTTATACAAGACTTCTGTGAAAGACTTAGCCCCCACATGCTGACGTGGTATGAGTGTAATTTCATCGGAGGAGCAAAAGGCCATCTCAGCGCCGAGAAATGCTGCTTAATCCAGTGCCAACGTCTGCAGCCTAATATAGGTCAGGCAGCACATCTGTCTAGACATCACAGCCCAGCAGGACAGTTATCATCACCCAGCTCACTGCAGATGACAAAACAGTCTGCACACAGCACAAACAGACCTTCCTTCGCATTTGAGTCAGGTGAGAGAGCTCTCACACACACATTAAATCCTTTGCCCATCACTTTGGATGATTATGGCAAGGTTTCCATTTCTTGCTCTGCTTGTGTTCTGATGATTGCACTGCAGCAGCACCTAAAGGCTCTTGCCAGCAGAACAGCTCTTTATGCAGTCTGTGCAACATGCCACAGAGAACCCTCCCCACAGTGCTGCTGCCTGTGACAGACACAACACGGGAGGAAGGCAGCGTTTCCCCCGGTTTGCAGCTGGTCCGTGGAAGCACAGGAAGACTGATGGGTGTCAAAGGAAGGGAAGCAACTTCGACAGAGCTAGGGATTATATCCGAGCCTAGAGGAGTCCTGCACTGTCCAATCATTTGTGCTTCCAACAGCCACAGTGCTGACTGACACAGGGGCCTGCCCATCCACATCCACATCCGCATCCGGCACAGTTCCCACCCCGCTCCGGAGGGAGGGCAGGCAGTGCTGGAGGAGCCCTGGAGAAGCCAGCAGAGAAGCCAGCAGAGAATCCAGCAGACGGAGCTGCTGACCTGCCAACCCTCTCTGCCTGCTGCATTTCCTCCACAGGAAAAGCTACAGCAGGAACAGTGATCCCTGAGACCACGGGACTGGGCTGACACATGCAGGACTCTTCCAGGCCCAGTAGGGCAGCAAAAAAAAAAAAAAACTAAACCAAAATGAAACATCATGCCACCCCTCCTGTTCACAATACTCCAGGCAGGTCATAACTCATTATCAATGAGCTGAACTCCACATCTCCAGGTACATGTACAGTCCCTCCTCGGGTCAGAACGTCCCCCCTCGCCGCAGTGCAGAAAGGCAGGCAGACAGGTATTTCTTACACAGATTCAATTCCCAACACTGTCACTAGGAGAAAATAATTACCTGATAATGTAAATGAAAAACGGTATTTTCTTAAGCAAAGAGAGAACTCTGCATGGATTATGTACACCCCACAAACCAGCAGAGGGGAAACAGCTGCAGTCCAGCAGAGCACACCATGGGATCTTCTCTCCAGCTTGCCATGCTGGCTGTCCCAGAGGTGCCCCATGGCACACTGGTCTCCACACTCCCACTGATGCCCATCAGACAGGGACAGGGACAGGGCAGGGGCTCTCAAACACAGCAGATATACTCACTGTCCAATGGAGAGCGACATCTTTTCAGGTTCCTGCCAGGGACCAACTCATACGACCTCATCTCCCCGACATCAATGCCCTCAGCCATCTTGAGCACCTTCTCCATGACCTGCTCGCCATACCTGTGGGGATTCAAGAGCAAACCACGTCAGAACTGATCCCACGGGGCAACACACACACACAAACACAGCGCCTGGTGCAAGGGAGATGCTCCCCAGCACTGACCACTGTCCCCTGCCACAGCAGCCCAGCACGGGCACACAGCAGCACACCAGCTGACCTGGCTCTGCACGAACCCCCTTGTGAAGAACAAACCATGCAGATACCACACCGACAGTGTTTTAGACTTAAATACATTGTCTGTCAGAATACAGTATCTGGCAGAGCTACTAGGAGCACCAGGGACGTGGGGAAGGAGGAGCAGCTTCAGTGAAGGAAGCCCAGGAGGGACCAGCTGGAGTCGTGTCTGGGGCAGCAGCCACAGACCACACGTCACCAATACTGCAATTAGCGTGTCAGATAACAAAGGCACTGCTCAGTCTTTATCGACCACCCCTTAAAAAACCAAAAGCCAGTCTAGCCTCATGCTGTAACTGAAATGTTTTAGACCCTGAGCCACGGCAGAGGTGAGGTGGCTGTAATCAGCCGCAGGCAAACCATGACCTGCTGCAGCACTTGTGATTCCACACAGGCACGGCACAGTCCTATCCATCTCTGCCTTACATCCCCAAGCATCTCAGTTTTCCATTGCTCTGGGATCTGTCACATGCTTTCAAGCCATTTACACACCAAACAAGAAGAAACCCCAAACCCTTCTGTCCAAAGCGAACCTACGAACATGGCCTGAAACCAGTCCTGACAGCTTTGCATGGTGGTTCAAAAAGGAGAAAGAGCAATGCTGCACCTGCCCCATGGTGTACTCACCTTCCAAAGTCACAAAATATCAGGTCACTCCCCAAGGACAGGAGTCCACAACTGTCCCAACAGCTACTGCTGCAGTAACTTGCACCAGCTGTTAAATACTACTGTTCCAAGGGCTCTGAAAACCTACTCACTCTCCACTCAAGAAATGCCCTTCCTGCTCCTGGTTTAGAAGGCCAAGTAGAATCAGATCAATTTCAATTCCTGGATGAGAACTCTGAGCACACACCACTGCAGTCCCTGCTTCACCTGCAGGTACCCGACACAGCTCAGACCCAGCAGAGGCAGTGGAACTCTGCATGGGAAGAAGATGCCAACAGGGATCCAAGGGAGGTTGTCAATGATACCCTCATCCTCTCACAGCTCAAAGGGGGAGGCGTGGGAATCTCTGTTCTCACTGGCTTACAGGGAAGAAGGCATTACCAATATCCCTTTCCAGCAGGGTGCAAGAACAGTGTTGGATCTGACATGTTTCACTCTTCACAAAGGATGGAGACCTTTGGGGCTCAGATTTCTGCTGGGGCTGCAGGGGGGAGATCAACCATGTGTCTGCCTAACCTGGCCTTGGCCATCTCAACTTGTGCAGACTCCACATGGAGGTAGATGAATCCTGTGCCTCCAGTGCCTAACTAAAGTCTCCCTGGTGTGACTTTAATATGTTACCCCTTACCCTGATTCCAGTAGCTATGGAGCATGATGCTTCTCTCCTCCACCTTGCAGCCACCTTTAACATATCTGAGAACACATACATCTTTTCCTCATCCACCCCTAGATTACATGGAACCTCTTACTTAACTCCTTCCTCACAGATCATGTTTTCTAAGCCTTCTGGACACTGCAGATAATCTCCCAGCAGAACACTCACTCAGATTTCATCAGCAAAGACTCTAACTTGTATTTACTCTGACAAACAGGTTGTCTTCAGCTAACAAGTAAACAACATTAGGAAAACAAAACAAGCAAACAAAACAAGACCAAAAAAACCCCAAACCAAACCCACCAAACCAAAAGACTTAAAACAACAAAAATGCCCCAAACTTTGATGCTATTCACTTGATACAGCAACAACAGCTCTTTCAAAGCAGCAGAAGGGAGTTTGGGCGAATGCTGTGGGTCCTTTCCCTCCCCTAGACAGCTCTCAGCAAAGCTGGAATTGCTTTTAGCAGTGCAGTGTGTTTCCATGCCTGTGGGTGTATTCATGGCCAGGCACAACACCAGCTCTGGGGAAACATCCTCTCTGGTAATGGCTTCAACATGCCCAAATCCCATCTGCCCTGAGAGCTGCAGGTAGAGATGTTCACCAGGGAAAGGATGTGCACTTACAGGCTCCAACTGCATCAGCTATTAGGATCTGAGAAATTGCCAGAGCTTTTCCCTTGTGTTACCAGCACCCTGTAACTGTGATTGCACTGATTCCCAAAGCACTCCCACCAACAAGGCCCCACATTAAGACAACACAAAAACAGGTAAGATGAGCTGATGGACCATAAAGACTCTCTTAAGATAATATTCTCAATACTCAAGCTTTGGAATTTGAAGCTATTCAAAAACCATGTTCAATTTCAGTGCTTGCAGAGCACAACAGTTTAGCACTCCAACCAGAAAGAGACAACAAAATGCACAGATTTGTATTTAAAGGTGTTGACTTGGCTCGGCACAAATGACACAATGTATTCCCCCACAAGGCCCCAGGATGGAGCATTAGTAAGTCAATCTCTGTGCCTTGCGTGCTCACAAACTCTGTCACTGCTCAACTTGAAGTTAGATGTTAAGCAGTTTGTTCTGTCCTTAAAGCCTCATGTCCATTTAAAAACAATCACAACTCCAAAGGTGTTGATGGGTGATGTTTCTGCAGCTCTCCACAGCCTGTGACAAGAGTTGGATTCTGTGTGTTAACAGCAATCCTGACAAGGGGAACCCTCCTCCACTCACCAGGCCTATTTCTCCCAGAAAAGCTGAGCTTTAAGGCTGCTTTATGCTTACACGGAAACTTTCTTTCCACTCAAACAACAAAGAACAGTAGCACAAGCTTAATCAGCCCTAGGGGAGCAACACAGAACCATAGAATTTTAGGGGTTGGAATAGACCTTACAGATCACCTAGTCCCACTCCCCTGTCCTGGGCAGGGACACTTCTCACCAGACCAGGTTGCTCAAGGCTTCATCCAGCCTGGCTTTGAACACTGCCAGGGTTGGGGCACTACCTCCCTGGGCAACCTATGCCAATGTCTCACCACACTCATAGGAAAATCCTTTTTCATAATGTTTAGCCCAAATTTCCCCTCTTTTATTTTGTGCCCATTGCCCCTTGTCCTGTCACTGCAGCTCTGAACAAGGAGTCCCTCTCCAGCTCCCCTGCAGACCCTTCAGACATTAAAAGGCTGCTATAAGGTCTCCACACAACCTTCTCTTCTTCAGGCTGAACAGCCGCAACTTCCTCAGCCTGTTCTTTGACACCAAGAACTATTTTCAAAACACTCACAAACTTTCCCAGCAGCTCACTCCCTCCACATGCACATACAGGAACCGAAGTTCTCCCGCTTCAGCCTCTTCCCTCCCAGCTCTTCCGTGGCTGTTCTGCAAAGGCAGCTGGGGCCGAGATTCGGCCGAGCAGCACCGGCTACGTGGGGAGCCTGACCCCTGAG